AGTGGATCAAAATCTAGGTGATTTTGAACCCTTAGCAAGGTGCCGCCTAGTGAGGCATGTCAGAGTAAATTCTGCTGTTAACAAGATAATAAAAAATCATTGAACCACAGAATATCCTGTTTTGAAAAGAATCCTCAATGATCGTCTATATCCAACTCCTGGTGTATTACTAGACTACCCCAAGAATAACTCCATGTGCCTGAAAGTGTTGTCCAAACATTTCTTGAACTCTGTCGGGCATGGGGCCTTGACTACTTCCCTGGGGAACCTGTTCAAATGCCCAATCACCCTCTGGGTGAAGAATCCTTTTCTACTGTCCAACCCAACCCTCCCCTGACACAGCTTCCTGCCATTCTCTCGGGTTTCTTCATGGAAAGGGCTGCCCAGCACTGGAGTGGACTGCCCAGGGTAGTGGTGGGGTCACCATGCCTGGAGGTTTTCAAGAATCAAATGAATGTGGCACTTAGAGCTATAGTCTGATTAACAAGGCGCTGATCTGTCAAAGGTTGTGTTCGGTGGTCCTGGAGGTCTTTTCCAATCTAAAGGATCTGTGATTCTGTGTCTTGGTCACCACAGAGAAGAGATCAGTGCCTGCCCCTCCTCTTCCCCTCAGGAGAAAGTGGCAGACCACAATGAGGTCTCCCCTCAGTCTCCTCCAGGCTGAACAGACCAAGTGACCTCAGCCCATATGGCTTCCCCTCAAGGCCCTTCACCATCTTTGTTGCCCTCTTCTGGATGCTCTCTGAGAGCTTTATATCTTTCTTATATTTAGATGCCAAAAACTGTACATGGGACTCAAGGTGAGGCCATGCTGAGAAAAGTGATCACAGCAGGATCTTTGCTTAAACACTTACAGGTCATATGAAAGAGCAGCTTGCAAAAATTTATGCTTAAATTGCAGTGAACCTTATCAACTTGTAATTGAAGAGACTGGATAATTATGATTAGCACTATGCACATATGTACAATTTTATTGTATTTCAAAATGCCACAGGGGAGGGGTAAGTCAACCATTTAGATATCATGTCAGGTTTTATACACTTTATAGGTAATAACAAATTGCTGTCATTGGCAATATTATTCCTAAAATAAATCATTTCACTCAGTTCCCAAATTAAGTACATTTTATTAAGAGGAACTACATGAATATGTCAATGTAAATAATTGAAGATGATGCATTAAATTTGTTAAAAACAAATTGAAGATGGTGTATTAAAATTTAAATACTTTCAAAACATGATTGTGAGATGGAAGCTGAAAGAGACCCTTCATGATGAGGAAAGAGCACTCATTTTTCAAACCATATGATCTTTCTTCCTTGGTTCCATGTGCCAAGTCTTTTGCATTGTCTGGAGAATGAGGAAGCAGCACTATGTATTGTGAGATGGTATTTCCAAGGAGTTTCTTCTTGTGTTGGTGTTTCCCTCCATCTTTAATTTTAGCATTCTTCTCTTTACAGTAAAGTACCCTTGTGGCAAAATTGCTGTGGTAAGGAAAAAAAGGTCTGTTCTTTCACCCACTGACCATAGCAATGGAATGAGTGATCAAGAAGACCCTGCTGCAAACGAAACGAGCACAGAGGAGGACTTTGCAATTACCACAGAAAGCCCAACGCCTCCACCTGACAACAGAACCAGCAGCAAGACTCCGTATGTCGATACCAGGATAGTTGGTGGGGATGAGTGTCTTCCTGGCCAGTGCCCATGGCAGGTGAGTGGAGGGGGCTTTGCCCTGCATGTGGCAGAGGGTGTCTCTGAGGGAAGGGGAGCAGTGGCTCCTTCCAGCTGGGAGCCTTCTGAGCATGACCCATGTCACGTGCCAGCGGCAGCAAGACGTAGCTGAGCTGTGTGACCCTGGGCATTGGATGTGCTGTTCTGCAAACTGCAGCTTCACGGGGTCAGAACAAAAGGCTGTGTGCCCTTTTAGATGGAACCGCCAACCCTATTGTCAGAGAGGACTTCAGGATCACTCCCAGGCCACTTTTGCAGGACACATTTTGGTTCTGTCTGAGACCATCCACTCAGGCAGCACACCCGAGGGCAGGGTGATAAAGCAGATACAAGCCAGTGTTTAGGTTCAGAAATACACCCTCATGTATCAGTTTTACTCTTGAGTTTGGTGGCCAGCCAAAATGAATTCCTGTATGTGGACATTGTTTGGGGTGGTAAGTCCAAGGGATGGAGTGATCCAGACTCTGCACTCTGCCTGTTCATTCAGTCAGTGCCTGAGGGATGTTACTCAGCACTGGGAGTGGGGTAATGTGGAAGCCAAATGTTAACTTCACATATAGACAATCAGGACTCTGTAGCAGTAGAAGTCAATCTGCAGCCTCTGCATGCAGGAATGCAGTGCTAGGAGAGACGTGGAGGGAGACATGCCTGTTGCAGTAAGAAGCATCTCTGTAGTGTGCAGAGAATTTAGTCACCCCAATATAGCTCATCGATTTTAAACTGCACTTCTTCCTTCTTACCTATTTTGCTTCACAGGCTGTTCTGTTAAACGAGGAAGGAGAAGAGTTTTGTGGTGGAACGATTCTGAATGAAAATTTCATACTTACTGCAGCTCATTGCATAAACCAATCCAAAGAAATCAAAGTTGTTGTTGGTGAGTGATTATTTGTTTTACTCCTCTGAGGTGAGAGTATCTGTAGTGCCTAACCTTCTGTGCCTTAAATCTCCCATGAGGTGTACTCATGATGCATTAAGGTTTGTTACCTTTTTGCTGCTTTTTATAATTTCTCATTATTCTGACCATCCTTCTTTGTGACAACAGCTGCCTCTCTTTCTTCTCTACCAGCTAGCTGGCAGTGGTTACAGTCCAATATTCTAGGAGTATTGGTTGTCAACGTGTTCAGCAGAGCAGTGCTTCTGCAGGTAGCTCATGATTCCTGGCACTTCAGAAGCATCCAGATATGTTCTTGCAGGAACCCTCAGGAAAGCTATGACTCATTGCAATAGAGTACCAAAAACAAACTCAGATTTATCATTGCTTCCCTTTTGAGCCCGGACACAGGATCAACACAGCCTCATCTTGGCACTGTTGTAGTCCACAACTTGTTCTCTTCTCTAAGCCAGGCTCAAGCTCCTGTAAGTGCTTCCACACAAAATTGCATTAGTTTAGCTGAATCAGCTTATGCCTTTGTGTAAACTGGTACAAAAATCTCCACACACCCAATCTCAGGACCAAAGCCAATCCAGGTGCTGCTAAGAAATATTGCCATTCCTGTTTTCAGTTTCCTTGTGTGGTCTAAGGTCTTGGGCAAAGTACTCAGAATCAATATACTGCTCTCTTCCTCTGTCAGAGTTGTTCTGAAATTCTTATACTTTCCCTACATTAATGACCCTTTTAATGCTCTTGTGCAGGTGAAGTGGACAGAGAGAAGAAAGAGCAGTCTGAATCAATGCACACTGTGGACAAAATATTTGTTCATTCCAAATTTATTGTTGAGACTTATGATAATGACATTGCTTTATTAAAGCTGAAGGAACCTATCAGGTTTTCAGAGTACGTCATCGCAGCATGTCTCCCCAAAGCAGACTTTGCTAATGAAGTTCTGATGAACCAAAAATCTGGGAGGGTTAGTGGCTTTGGGCGGGAATATGATGGTGGACAGCTCCCAAAGAAACTGAAGGTCCTTGAACTCCCATATATTAATAGGAGCACTTGCAAAGAATCCACTTACTTTGCAGTAACTGAGAACATGTTCTGTGCTGGTTATGACACAGAGCAAAAGGATGCTTGCCAAGGAGACAGTGGTGGCCCCCACGTGACCAGATATAAGGATACTTATTTTGTTACTGGAATAGTTAGCTGGGGCGAAGGATGTGCAAGGAAAGGCAAATATGGTGTCTATACCAAACTGTCCCGGTTCTTGCGCTGGGTAACAACAATCATGAATTTGTAGTGGTGTGCTGTGTCCCTTGATCCTCCTTGTTAGCTGCCAAGGTGCAGGATTGGAAATGGAAACTTTCTTTTTCTGCATATCTGTTAAGTTGGATTTGAGATCTGATTCCTTAAATTACAATTGCTTCCATTCATATTATTCCTGGCTTTAAAGCACCCCTCTGTGGTCTGTGAAGGTCTTTGGAATTGGTTGAATGAAGGAATTTCCCCAAGCAAAAAGGCTGCTGAGTGGGGGCTTTGGCTTCTTTTATTGATCAATGTCCATTTTGGTCCCTATGTGTTGTCACGAGTGCTCCAACCAGAAGCTCCTAAACATATTCTGAACAGTGACTAGTCATGATGAAAGCAGGAAGGATGGGAGTCACTTAATCCTCATATTGCAGCCATCTGGCTCAGCAGGGAGATTGTCCATACTGGTGTTGTTTAGCTTCTACCTTCAGATGTGTTCAGAAGATCAAGGGAGCAGGAGATCTTGGGTGGCAAAGGCTGAGACACAATTAAGTAATCAATACGTGATGCTAAAGAATCACATGTTCCACAAAATGGCCTGCTCAGATCACAGCAGCTCTTTAAACAGGGGTTTTGCTTTATAAGGATTGTACTTTATTCTAGTTTAATTTTTACACTCTGCTCATCAGAAAAAATATATGTGCACATTCACTCTTTTCTGTATCTTGTTCTGGATTGTGTATGACTGAGGACTGGAAAACTCCTTGCATGTGTATTGTTCTAGATGATTCTGTTAGGTGCTATATTGATGTACACCAGCATTTGAAATAAAACATTCTTTCTTTTTTTGTTCTTGTTTGCTGTAATTTTAGCAAGCCCAGCCTCAACAGCCTCTATCCATCATGTGGTCTGCCCCCTAAAAATCCTGATGGCTTTTCCAAAGCTTCTCCAGTCTCTTATGTTCCCCTGTGCTCTGGAACCCTGAACTTCCTTAGACACCTGCTCCATCTCTCTTAGGCTTTGAGCTGGTACTGGCTCGTTTCACACAGCAGGTGCTGTGAGCAAAGCAGACTGAGAAACTCAAAATACAAGTCTGCAAACAGCAAGTGTTGCTGCAGTCAGCAGTAATTGTGGGCAGGAAAGTGAGTGGGCAGGTCAGTTATCCCAGCCTGCTGGTCTAGACCTGTATAACTCCTCAGTGGGCTTCCTTCAGTGTTTGCTCAGCAGTGTTTGTTCCCCGAGTTCTTCTGTCCACTGGATTCCTGTGCAAATCCTTTGTCCCACAGGTGCTGCGCCTTGTGCGTCAATCAGGGTGAAAGATCCCTCTTCAAAGGAAAGTCTCAGGTCTGGGTCCTACCCAAATCCTACTTGCATACTCTTGCTAAGGACTTTCTTCTACTTAAGCGGAGCTTGGGGACTGGAGCAAAACACAGACTGGGCTGTAAAGGGGTTGAGGCAGCTGAAGGCATCGCTTCGTGTCCATTGCTCTTTCTGTGCCCTGCTGAGAGGACATGAGTGAAACATCTGCTTGCCTCTGGACCTCCTGTCAAAGGACATAAGCAACCCTAGGGCCCGTATCAAAAGGAAACTTAGAGCCCATTCTTTTTTTAAAGTTGACAAATGATTTGGGAATGATTTCACATAACAGAATTGAACAGATTGCAAAATCCAGGAAAGGGACACAGCACACAGCTGAGTAAACTGGTGGATTTTGAGACAAGCAGACACAGCTGGCTTAGGCAAAAGCTGGCATGTACCAAGGATGGTGGACAGAGAGGCTCTGAGCTATTCTCTAGTGCTCAGGCTTCTTCTGCCTTCAAGGAAAAGCCAGTCCTGAGCCTTAAGGGAAGAAAAGAAGGATGGTGAGTAAGCCCTGTGAGTAGAGAAGCCCTGCAGTAGATATTCCCAGGAGGGCAGCAATGCTGGTTTTCTTCCAGAATGGGAGCTGTAAGTAGATGTCAGGTGTGCAGCATGATAGGGGCTGCCCAAAGGAATAAATGTGGACAAGCTGCCCTTTTGTTATGGCATCCTACAGTATGGGAGGAAAACACATTGCAGCAGGCTCAGTGTCCAACAGGAAGCAACTTTCTGGGTACCTTCTTCCCGGGAGCCTTGGCCAATGTGCCAAAAATATCACAGAGGTCAATCTGATCCCCTGTAGGCTCAGTAGGTTGAGCAGGGTGACCCTGTAGGTCTCTTCAGCCCCTGATTTCTGTGTTTCCAGGTGAGCAGCACAAGCAGAGTGTCACTTTTAGGATCATGCCTTTGTGCCCTGCACTGGCATGGAAAGAACAAGGTTCCTGTGTACTGCTCCCTGGCACAGGTGACTCACCTGGCAGGATTGTCTTCCATAGCCTGAGTCCCTGACCACAATGGCCTGTCAAGAGCTGTCCCATGGAGTGGTTTGAGAAAAAGGAAACAGCACATAAACCCCATAAC